TTTGCAGAGAGACTGGGTGTGATGGGCCCTTTCACAACCTGCATGGACTCAAGTCCTTCCCAAGATCCATCCACCATGCATGCTGAGCCTCTTCTGGCTGATCCAGTCTGGCATCCTTGCAGGATAGGAGTCCTAAGAATCCATCCTAGTCTAGACTTGGGGCGTCTCCTTCCCCCTTCAGGCTCTGCTTTCTGATTCTTTGTGGCTTGTGTCATGCCTGGCTTTTGCAGAAGGTGTGATGGCTTCTGGAGCGGATTGTGTCTCAGCAGACTTGTGATGCTGGGTAGTCACTAGGCTGAGTGTTGATACCTCATGACACATGTGGAAGCTGACAGTGCTCAGAGAAGAGCTACCAGGCACATGCATTTGGAAGGTGATGTGTGTGTCTGCCGACCCTCCAATGGGCTGTTCTCCACTGCCCCAGACGGCATGGCTGTTCTTGTTTTGTGTTGCTATAAAGTCATCCATAAGTCGATGGGAGTGCCTGCATCTGCCCCTCCCATTGTTCCTTAGAGAGAGGAGTCTGGGATCAGGGTTTGGCTAAGATAGCGTGGATATTAACCTAACACTTAGACTCTGCTTTGTTACTGGAGCTCTCTGAGTCCCCCAAGTATGATCTGTGACGTGGAAGTAGCATTTACTGCATAGGGCTGGGTTTTTTGGGGGGTTAGGGGGCTTCAGGATCTAATGTTAGTAATTTGTACAGTACCTGGCCACACAAGTGCTTAGCCTGTCAAGTCCTGTGGCCCTGCTCTTTACCTGGTGCAGTCATCTCAGCCACTCCCTTTCTTTAAATGATCTCAGAGTCCTTTGTGAGATTGGGCTGGGAGAAAATAGCCCCAAAAGACAGTTGGCTTGGCTCTGGAGAAATATTCATGAACACAACATTCCCCCACCCACCTGACCAGCAGAGAAGGCTGATGCCTCATGGGGGTCTGGAGTTTTCAGTCTGGAAAGCAGGCAGCGTCTGGAATGAGCCTGCTGGAACACCTCAGCATGGGTGAAGGATGCCATACATTGTCTCCTGGCCTTCCCAGAGTGCAGTGCAGATTCAAAGTGATGGGAGCCTGGTGTAACGGGAGCATGGGCATGCCAGATCCCACGTTGGCATGCAGTCAGTGATCCCAGAGGTGAAGCCCTGCTCCATGCACACGCAAAGTAAAGAACCTGCCACCATGTGCCTATGACCATTCTGAGCCAGGCTTCCTTCCTTTCAGTCAGCTGGGCTTCTGGTGCCTCCAGACATCCAGAGTTAATAAGGGTCTTCCAGACCCAAGTCCACCTGAAGCACACCAGGTACATCCCAAGGCCAGCAGAACCAACCACGCCCTAGAGGCAGGGAGTGTGAAATATATATTGATTTCCACTCATGGATGAAAGGTGATCTTTGAAATCAAACAAGAAAGAGCCTCCTTTACGGCCAGGTGACCTGGATCAAGTCTGTCACATGCTGACCCTCAGTTCCCACAGAGCACTTTGGAAAACACTTGGTTCAGGCTGCACACATGGAATTGGGCTCTAGAGGGGACTCTGAACTGTCATCATCATTTTACATCCCTCCCCTCCTCAAAGGGAAGTGAGCCAGGAGAGGTGAAGCATCGTAGAGGCTGTTACTCCACACACAGAGTTTGCCCAACTCAATGCAGGATCCCTGTGTCCAGGACTTTGGGCATCTGTAATCTAAAAAGCCAAAATGCTCCAAAATCTGAACCTTTTTCATGGCCGACAAAGGCACCCCAGCTGGGAAATTCCACACCTGAAATGTGACAGGTCACAGTGAAAACAGCAGCATGCTAAAAATATCATATAAAGCTGTCGTCAGACCTTCTGTATACTTGGACGTGAGTCATAAATGAATTCATGTTTAGACTTGGGTCCCATCCCTAAGGTCTCTCATCACGCATATGCAAATATTCCACAGTATGGTGGGTTTTGAATTCCCCTCATCTCCAGCCCACGTACAAGAGAGCTCAGAGCTCCCTTCACGGAAGGCAGACTGAGTTGAAAAGCTGCCGTTCTTCTTGATAAAAGAGAGAGGGCAGGGGGCAGGCTGCTAGTCGTGCTGATGCCAGGGTTTGGTGCCACTGTCCTCAGCTTCCAATTCTCCATAAGCAGCTTAATTTTTATCTCTCCTGCCACCTCCATGCGGTGCCTTAGGGAGTCGAGCAGGCTGGGAGAGGACGAGTGACTGGGACACCGTGCCCTGTTCTGTCTTCTTTGGCTCCCTGCTTCCTGAGCACGGCACCTTGAACTTTTTGCTCAGTCACTCTGCCAGCCTGGGTTGTTTTGATGCCGTGCATTTTTGAAATCACATCCCATGCTGAGAAACCTAGGAGCAACAGGACACAAAGGAGCCCCTGGATGAGCAGAAAAGTCTAGATGGGCCTGATGGGTAAGGAATACCACCAGGATGGTATCCAAGGCAAGTCAACGTTGTTACTTTCTATCCCTGAGGACATCTTCTTCCCCCAATGTCTAGTGTTTGCCAGGACCAGGAACCGCAGTTGGGTTCGTGAATCTGTACTGAGGTCTCAGACCTGCGTGCCTTCTCAGGAACAGAAGGGAAAATAAACTGGTGAGGGCACACAGTAGAGAGTGGTGAGGACTGTGGAAAACAGAGAGAATATGTCCTCTGTAGAGGGTCAACCATTCCACAGCTGCCTCTAGTGGAATGGTTGTAAGCTGGAGCTTCTGAAAATTTTGTTCAAGAGGAAATAGAAATCTGGTTGTGTGTGTGTGTGTGTGTGCATGTGCATGAATCTCCCAACTTCTTTTAAAGCACAGGAAGGCAGATGAGCAGACTTGTGTGGGCTTTGTTGCAATGCAGGACAAGGATGAGGACAGCGTCAACCGGGAGGTCAGCTGACCTGGTCTCTTTACTATGAGTTCAACATGTCCTGGCCAGATGATGCACAGAAAGCCTTGAATGTCAAGGTTGGCAACAAATTTGCCACCTACTTCTTCAAAACAAAAAAAAAACGCTGTGTGTGAAGTTGGCATTCCTGACCTGGTTGCTTGGCTGTGTTGGGTCTTCCCCCTTGTCTCCATTTCTCTGCTCCCAGCATCCTCCTTCTAATGAAGGTCCTTGAGGAATGACCTTGACTCAATTTAATGCATAAGGCACTGAAAATTCTTTGGGGAATGCCACAAAGGGGATGGACAGATGAACAGGTAGATAAGAGTTGTAAGGAAGAAGCCACACCCTCCAGAGTGTGCAAAGTAATAACTCCCTGCAGGATACCCCTGGGAAACAGGTGTGACCTTGGACAGGTGCAGCTGGCGCTCAGCCTCAGTTTCCTCACCTGTAACATGGGAGGTGGCTCTGCCCATCTGTGCAGGTGGCTGTGAGAATCACAGGATGTGAGGAAAGCGCTTTGGAAGACAGAGCATTCTAGCAATGTGAGCTTTTCTCCACTTCGAGGCAGGAGGACATCTGTGTGGCCTCTGGGGACCTTGCCCATTATTGGCCAGATTAAGCAGGCAGTTCTTCTTCCACTTGTCACTGCAGCAGCTGCCTGCTTGCATGCGGGTACACAGGGGACCACCAGGGAGGACAGGCCTGCAGCAAGGAGGGGACATGAGTGATGAGGCACCCAGAAGGGGCCCTACCACTGCCAGCTCTAGTCCCCCGGGACTCTGGTGTCGAGACTCCTGCAGCAGGCCAGCCTGTTACAAATCTCATGGGCTAATCCCCACCAGGGAAGCTCCAAGCCAGTCTTGAAAATCAAAATTTTAAAAATTCAACATTTTTGCACCCTCCCCCTTTCATTGAGAAACAAGGATACAGTTTCTTAGACTAGGATCATAAAAGAAATTCTTAGCACTCAATGTTGCTTGACTTGCTGGCTCTATTCCAGAAAACTCTCCCATGGCCCTGGTGGCATCTGCTGGACCACTGTTTCAGCCAAAAGGCAGTTTCCTGTGACCCTTTGTGGAGGAGGCAGGGAAGGTTCTTTCTTAATCACTAAGCACACAGCAGAAGGGGATGCTGGTGGATGAGAAAGTGGATCCTTTGGGAATCAGTGCTACCTTTGAGCAGGGAGACCCCCAAATTTGTCTTAATGGAGAATGAGCACTAAGAATGAAGGGAGAAGTCACACAGGTGGCATTTGTTCGTCATGGACTGGAAGTCTAGTGCAGGAGATCAATGATAAACAAGAAAGCAAGTGTCCTCCAGTGACAATGTGTAGTGAGTGACAGGAAGGACGTCAAAGAGACTGTGAAAAGCAGGCAGTGGTGCTTGGGTCCTGCTAAGGTGAGGTGGCCAGGGCAGGCCTGTTGAGGCCAAGAGTCAGGGGAGGAAAAGCTGGACTTGCTGAGGTGAAGAGGTGGTTCCAAGGACCCAACAGATGTGCATGGTGTGCTTCTGATAGAACTGGAGGGAAATGGGAATGAGGTGTTACAAGGTTAGGATGAGGATGGGGAAAGGCAGAAGTCAAATTTCAAAGTGCTCCCTCCATCCTCTGTGTGTGTGCACATGTGTGTGAGAGACAGAACCCATGTGTGTGTGTACATGCTACACAGGGATGGAGGGTGACCTGTGACCTTTAACACATTTCTACTTAGATAAACCATCCAAAGAACTGTCACGAATTCTGAGTCAAAATTGTCCTCTGTCAATCAACCAAAGCTTTGAAACAATGGTGGCAAGTGATTTTTTTCTCCTCCTTTGGATTCCCAGAAGCTTTGAATTCTAAAGGAGAAAGTGAAACACGGGGCTGTCATTCCAGCCCTTCTCTGAGGCTGTGGGTGCGAGGTGAGGATGCAGGCAATTGTGTTGTGAGGCAGAGTCACTGGGTGTGGGTTAAGCAAGTGCCTGAGTCTGTTCCGAGTCTGGAGGCCACAGAACACAGTCCCTCTCCTCCTCTGGGCTGCAGCAGGAGCTCAAGGCTGCAAGGATGATTGGTGGCAGCTTGGCAGCCTGTCCCCTGCAGGTGCAGCTGCTGCTGCACTGGCAGATACCAGGCTTGGAGCATCATGGCCTTCTCTTCTGCTTGCAGTCTTCTCAATGCTAACAAGGTCAGCTGCTTGCGGGTGAACACCTTCCAGGACCTGCAGAATCTCCACCTGCTGTCCCTGTATGACAACAAGCTACAGACCATCAGCAAAGGACTCTTTGCTCCTCTGCAGTCCATTCAGACACTGTGAGTAGGCTGCCCTAGCAGCCAGAGCTCCCAAACGCCCAGCACCCCAGATGCAGGCAAACTGAGCACAGGCAGGGGTCTTCTAGTGCTTGCAGTGAGATACACAAAAAGCACTTACCTGTGCTGAGCACTGGCTCCACATCACACTGAGTACTTGTCCTATTGTAAAACCTTTAGGCCAAACTCTTGGGGGCAGGTGCTACTGTTACACCCAAGTTACAAGTGAAGAATCCAGGGGATAGGGAAGTTAAGTAACTTACCCAACGTTCTATAGCTAGCAAGCAACAGGATTTGGGCTGAGCGTGGAGGCACTCACCTATCATCTCAGGTACTTGGGAGGCAGAGAGAGGAGGATCATGGTCCAAGGCCAGCCCTGGGCAAAAACAAGAGACTCTATCTGAAAAAATAACTAAAACAAAAAAGGGTTGAGGGTGTGGCTCAAGTGGTAGAGCAACTGCCTAGCAAGCACAAGGCCCTGAGTTCAAACCTCAGTACCACCACCAAAAGAAAAAAAAAAAAGCAGGATTTGAATGCAGGCAGAGGAGCCCCTGAGCTGGATTCCTGCCCACTGCAGACACTGATCCGAGCAGGCTCCAACTCTGTCCAACACTCCCTGTACCCTGTTAACCCATGCCTCTGATGCAGAGAGAGGATGCAGGGGAAGGATGGGGAAGTGTTTCCTCAATCCCAGGCACTGCAGATGTGCATAAATATTGCAGGTAAATAAATAACATCGGTACAGATCGCAGCCCGTGCTCTTAACGGCTGCAACTCCGCCCCAGCTCTGCAGTGAACCTGAATGCCCTGCGGACCCTGACGTCATCTGGCACATATGGCTCCATAGCCAGAAACAGGAGCCGACAGAAAGTCAGAGCAGTGGCTCTGGATTGAACAGCCACCACGGGCCAAGCTCCGTGCTTAGTGCTCTGCATGGTTTTCCTACCGAGCAGGGAAGCAAGGCTCACAGTGCTCTCCTGATGGTAAAGAAAATAGTGGCAGTACCCAAATGGAAGGGCCACCATATGCCATCACTGTGCCAGCTGCTTTATGTGCCTGGTGCTCGGAGCTTAGAGAAAGTAAAAATGCATTCTATCCTAAGCATAAACTCTTTGCTCACGGCTTGCTTCACCCATCAGAATTGGCATGAGTGAACACAGCCACCATCAGTGGTGAGTACTTGCCCAAGTGGGGACAGCTGGAGGCTGATTCCTTAATGCATCTGTGCTTGTCTTTGTCAGACCCCTCTGGGAGTCCTTTCTGAAAGTAGCACCCCCCCCCCAGGCCTTCTAGGGTAATGGGTGAAGAAGGAGACCTTGCACGGGATTTCCAGGGCCCCACACAGGCAGGGTGGTGGTGGAGTCAAACATTATGGTCACTCCTAACAGCCTCTTCCCTTTTGCAGCCACTTAGCCCAAAATCCGTTCGTGTGCGACTGCCACTTGAAGTGGCTGGCTGACTACCTCCAGGACAATCCCATCGAGACGAGCGGGGCCCGCTGCAGCAGCCCACGCCGGCTAGCCAACAAGCGCATCAGCCAAACCAGAAGCAAAAAGTTCCGCTGCTCAGGTAATCAGGTTACAGGCTGGGCCCTGCTTGTGACTCTGAAGGCAGCAGTCCCAGAGGCCGATAATCGGATCCTGAGGACAACCAGTGCTGTCATGGCTCCTGGGGAGTATCTTTGCAAATTAAATTGGGGAAATTCAGTTAGCCCTGCAGAAAAGCAATTACCTTATGGATTTAAAATAAAACACACACACACACTCACACACACACAATGAAAGCACGGGGGAGGGGGAACACAGCAGAGCTTCAGAGCCAGGGAGAAGCCTTGGAAGGAGGCTAAGATTTATTTTATCATTTTTAAAGTGTTATTCCCAAATGGCAGACAGAGAAATAAATACAGTCCTGGTCAGGCTGCAGGAAGTCTAATAACCCAAGTCCCATTGGAGGCGGACTTTGGCAGAGCCCTGGACCACAGTGTGTTGTTACAGGTTTCACAAAATACTTTCTCCTCCAAGCAGGCAGCCGTCCCCCGAGGATGGGGAGAGCACAACTGGGCCTTGCTGTCCTGTGCCCATGCCCTGTCTAGAAACTGTCTTCCCCACTGTACCCAGAAAGGATGTGTGGACAGAGGCAGGGGCATCCTCAGCCCATCACAGAAAGAGAAGTAGCTCTCCTTGATCAGTAGCTAGATGTACAGGGAGTTCAAAGTTAGTATCAACTATGTCATTTGCTACCAGAAGAAAAAACACCAAGCTTCATTGTGCTCCCTAGAGATGGCTAGCGTGAGGTGCTGAGACAGGGTGAGTCACCCTCACGGTGTCCCTCAGCCAGCCGTGCCGCTGCCCCTGCCTGAGACGTCTTCTGCAAGTGAGATTTCCTGAGCACAGGGCCAGCATGGAGCCTGATCACCCAGAGGAGTCCAGCTGGCATACTTCAGCTTCTTAAGACGATAGTCTTGAAGTCAAATTCTTGTCTCTAGATGACAAAATGTAGCTGTTTTATTTTATTTGTTTATTTATTTATTTATTTATTTTAGAAAAAGTAAATGCCTGGAGAGGGCTTAGAAAGACCTCAGAGACTTTGTAGCAATATGCCAAGTTGGCCCATTTGCCTTAGCACAAAAGCGCTGTCACCGATGACAGAGATTCCTGACCTGTGCAGAACGCCGTGCTGAGTGCTTCCTGTTTAATTTGCTTCTCTTCCTGTGGGATCGGCAGGAGAGGTCCCCATTCTACAGCGGAGGGCTCAGATCAAAAGGGACACCCCAGGTCACAGCCAGAAAATGGTGGAGGCGGGAGCCACTTGCACTGCTCCTTGACACCATGCAGGGGAGGATTGGAGATGGAGGCACTGCAGGTTGAATGGTTTCCTTCCTGGTCTTGTAGCCTCATGTTCAACCATTGAACTCTTTCTTTGGGTGTCTTCCTGGGCTTGGCAGCATCTCTCAGCCCAAAATGTCACCGGTGGCACTCTGGTCCTTTCCAGGACCTTTCCTCACATCTTCACCAGCCTTATTCCCTCTCTTCCTACCCCTGCCCACTCAGAGCTGAGTTAATTAGTAGTGCCCAAGGAAAGGGATGATAAGAGGCAGAGGACAACCTTGACCCTCAGTCTCATGAGTGTCCTGTATCCGGGACCTCAGACTGATGTCAAGACCTTGGGTAGCAGGGTGAGGAATGGTCAGCCCAGGATCCAAGGTCTGGCTTCTCCCAGGAGTATAGTTCTAACAGTGGCTTGGCAATGACTGGAGGCTGGGATAGGGCATAGCAGAGGGGTGGCAGGGACAGAAAGAACCAACTAAAAGAAAAGAAAATAGGAAGAGGACTCAGGAAACAGTAAAGCTTAGCTGTAACAACTGGAGCTCTGCTCCCACCTACCTACCGACGGACCTTTGTGTGTGCAGGATCCTGGCTGCTTTTTCTATGTGGGGCAGGAGTGGCTATAATAAAAAGAAATGAGAAGAAAGGGCAGGTGGGATTGACCTTGTCTAAAATATCACTTTTTTAAAAACAATACTAAGCAGAACACTTAGAGCTGGAATAAACCTGACAGACACCCTTGTATATGCTGTTAAGACAGGTAGCTGCAGAGGAGAGGTAGAGAGAGCTACCTCGAGCTCCAAACACCTTGGCTTTCAGAAACACCAGGACCCAGAGCTGCCTTGGCCTTGGGGGTTACAGAAAGCCTATCCCTGAAGCTCTGTGTTTGCAGGAAAGTCCAGAAGCAGGAGCGGGGGGACGGTGACACATACTGAAGTTGACAGATAATAATTCTGCGATTCACTTTCCCCTGCAAGCACCCCCTTGAAAAGACAGCTGATGTAATTAGGATCCAATTTGAGGGCTGCTCTTGCAGCATATAGAGCCCCTCCTTAGGGAGGGCGTCTGGTTTCCAGCTGCTTCGCACTGCCTCTCCTATCGGCTGTATCCGCCGCCTTGGGCAATGAGATGAGTTTAGGGGTGGATATTGCCATCTGGGGTGATCTGACCATCAGATTAAGTCCTCCTGCACAGGCACCATCTGGGTGCCTGGGACCCCAGGCCCCACCCCAGAGCACTTAGCAGCTGAGGATGCTGCCTGTCTTCTATCATGCCACCCCTTGTGTAAGAAGACACTCTCATGATGAACAGTGCAGGACTGGAGTGTGGTTGCAGGCTGGGATAATTGCCTGGCATGTATGAGGCCCTGGGTTCCCTCCTCAAGCGCCACAAAAGGGGAAAGAAAAAGAAAAGTGCAGAGGAAGGACCCATGTGTCCACACATGGCAAACAGTGAGACATCTTAAAGACCTCACATCATCCAGGGCACTTTAGAGACCAGACTGTGAGACTGAGGACCACGTGGCAAAAAAAGCCAAGTCTAAGATAGAGGTTATCATTCCCAAGCCGAGATCTGAACCCCAGGACCGCTCACATACTATGAAGATTCTAAACAGTTTGCTTCTGGGTCCCTCGATGTCCACTTGGAGGACACCGAAGAGGAGAGGGGAGTTTTAAGGCTTTGGTACATGTGAGGGGTGAATTTCTCCTGCTCAGATATCGTGATCTTGATCAAACTCATAGAACCAGAGTGTGCACAGAGCCCTGCGTGACGGGGGTGGGCGGGCGGTCAACATAGAGTAGAGACTATGTTACAGCAACTTGTTCCGATGGGAGTACAGAGATGGAGGGACCAGCATGGCTGACTGTGGCCAGGCTCTTTCTAACTGGTCCATCATTGCAGAAAACCCATGCACTGTGGGATGCTGGGAACATCTCACCGATGAAGTTAGTCCCAAAAACATATTGTGGTACGTCAGTAACCCTGTCCATCCTGTCAGAGGTCAGGCAGGGGGGGTCTGCATCACCTGGCCTTGGCTCCAGTCTCTTCAAGAGGTACACAGCTCTAGCTCAATGCTAAGTGGGAGGAAGCCCCAACTCAGAAGGTGCAGAAAAATGCCCCTTGCCTATCCAGAGGGATGTACAAAGTCTGGGTGCCCTCACCTGGGCCCTTGGCTTCTAGGACCATTGATACGTGGCCCAGCTCACCAACTCCTATGATTCCCTGTCATGGGAGGAGACCAGGAAATCAAAAAGGACCCTGGAATGGGGCTAATCAATTGAGCCCCCTCACACCCACACACACCTTTCCTTCTTCTCGAAGTCTGATAGAGCTTCCTCATCAGCAGCCACTAGCCGCTGTCACTCACTGTCACTGTGGTGATTGTAGTTTTCTCAGTCCCAAACCCAAGGCCCCAGTGGCTTCCTGTCCTCCTTCCTCTCTGAGTAGGAAGATGTGTTTTCTCTTTTAATTCCACACCTCTCCTTTGCTAAACCCTAAGTGATCTGGAATGGATAGCTATCAGCCAGAGGGTTTCTGGGGACCCTGAAAGATACTAAGGAAACTCCCCAGCTGGGAATGTCAAAGAGGGCTTTCCCTAAAGAAGAGCCAGACTTCAAATAGAGGTAGACTGTCTCTATTTGAGGGGGTGGAAGTAGTGGATACGGTGGAACCTCTCAGCCACTGGGGTTGTCCCTGTGTCAAAAAGCACGTAGATGACACTTTGCTGTGTTTGGTGTCTAAAATCAGATCAAAGGATGTGATAAAATAAGGACAGTGTTCCCTTCAGGCCCAGGGTGTGCCCTCAGAATGTCTGCGTGCTCCGTGACCCCTTTGGGAAGGGCCATTCTGACCAGAAGCTCTTGAGCATGGGTGTCTGATGGCCCCCCCACCCCCGTGTCTCTCCTTCCTCCTGAGTCTCCCTGGGTGGGCACGTGGGCTCCAGGCCCCCATCTTCAGCATGGATCCTGTGGAACTCCATTCCTGGCACTAATCACGCCCAGCGGGGGCCTGCCCCGGCTTCCGCTTCTCCACGCTGCTTCCTCTGAGCGCTCCTGTCCTCTCTCTGACGCTGCTTCCTGACCTTGACTCTGACGGTCGCCGCGGGGCTTTCCTTTGTGCTTGATCTAACCATGTGGTAGAACGATGGAAACGGAACATGGTTCTGTCAAGCACCGCGGAAAGCACCGTGCTCTCCTGCAGCATGGCCGCCACCGCCGCTGGACACCTCTCTCTGGAGCACCACCTGCCAGACCCGCCTCTCCGCTCAGAGGGCAGGGGGGTGGGAGGCTCGAGGAGTCAGGCTCAGGGCGAAAGGAGATGGAGAAGCACCCTGGGCCCACACCAAGCTCAGTATCCACAGTTCTTCCCAAAATGCAGTTGCCATCCCCCAAATCTGGTCTCGATGCCAGCCAAGGAGTAATAGCTAGACTCCAGGTTTCCATTCAAAGAGAGCAAGCATACCCCAGGCATATGCCCCACCATTTCGTGGGAAAGCCCCCAGCCAACGTTATTTGCCCAAATGGAAGCTGACCCAAAGGGAATTCATCCTGCTGGTGACCTTCCTCACCACCTCTCTGTTACGAGCATGCACTTGAATTTGAGCATGAGACTTTGAACTTAAACAGAGGCTCCTTCTGAATTTGACCCCCACTCCTCATGGATACTTTGCCCTGATCCTATGAGACAAGAAGTCCAATCTCGAGTTTCAAGCACAGTTAACACTGAGGAGCTGGGATTGTCACCTGGCACTAATCACCTGCCAGGTGGGGGCCGTGCAGAGACTTGCTGTCTCTGACCATAAAGACGGGGAGCATAGTCGCTTTTTCTTGCTTGACACATCCTGGCCAGAACATGGTGCTGTTGGTACCTGAGCTAATGTCTGTCCCCTATCCCGAGAGAGAGAGAGCTAAGGTGGAAACCAACCCTGGCTTAGAACCCGGATCTGGACTCTGGGCTCCCATCCTGGTGTGGACCCAGTCATTGACGAGTAATGGGGTATCCTGTTTGCCTCTTAAACATGTATTTAGTACCTACTGTGGGTTGAGTGCCCAGCCATTTTACACCATTTCCTTGTTTAGTTGTCACAGGTCTATGCCCCAGTTTACAGATAAAGACACTGAGGCACCAAGAGGTTAATTAACTTGCTTACCTCTGCACTGCTCAGCCTTCCCAGCTGTGGACATTCTGACTGCTTCGACTTAGAAAAATGTTAAAATCTTGAATCGATAGGGACTTGAATATTTTTAACATTTGCTTCAAGCTTGCACCTGTTAGGAAAAAGAACTTGAATAAGAAAAAGTGTTTTGTTGAGATAGCTGGTCCTTGCTAGCGTGAACATGCCAAGATCTCATTGGGTGCAGAGCAAATCCTCGAGCCTGCAGAAATCCTCCTTCCCTTCTTCCAGAAGGGGCTGTCCTGAGTTCCAGGCACTGCCCCCACCATGCCAGGGCCTAGGCCTCTGGGAGTGGAACTATAATGGCACCCCTCCATCAGCACAGCCCTGATCTGTGGCAGCAAGCTTGTGACCAGCCCCCACCACGAGCATTTCCGTCTGCTTTCCTGCAGACGGCTGCACACGTACTAGACTCTGACAGAGAGAGCTTGCTAGGACAGCTTCCTGCCCCACTGCTGGCCAAACCAGTCCTAAAAAGTTGGTGTGTTGCAGCCACTGGTGCCTGGGCGGCTCCCAGTCTCTCCCTGTCCTCTTGATTCATCACCACTTATGATGATGAGCCCGACAGGACTTTGTGCTATCCCCCCTTCCTCTTTCTGCTCCTTCCCTTCTTTCTCTCATCCCACCCATCTTAGGGACATTGGGGGTAGTGAAGGATAGCTCTGGGCACCTGAGCTGGCAGGCCCCTTGCTGATCAGATAGTGATGAATCTGTGACTTTCAGTCAACAAACTAGCTGCCCAAAAGGGACACACAATGCAGGCTGACAGCTGAGCCACCCTGGGTCCCAGGCCGACCTCTGATCCCAGCCCAGCTGAATCCATCCAGAGAATTGAGCTTTGTCTCCTGACCTGCCCTGGCCCCGTGACCTTTCAAATGGCACATGCATTCCTTCTGGGAAGTGGCCATAGGGCAGGGATTTATAACAAAATTGCATTGCTGTGGATTTCCACCTTTTACCACCACCCCCTCTATTAAAGCTTTCTGTGATCGTGTACCAAGTGTCATTGTCCTAAGCTTGCAGAGAGAGGGGAGGAGGGCTAGAGGGGCAGGAGCAGGCTGGACGCCAGACAACACCAGCTCTTCCAAGGCTGCTTAGCTCAGGATGGGTTTTATGACCCTTCTATGCATCGTCCGAGATCTTTCCTGTCTGAACTCACCCCAAAGATGAGAAGACATGGCCTATTTCTGTTGTTTCCCTCCTCCGAAGTATTTCTGGCAGTGACAAATACGCATTGAGATTGAAATTGACTTTTAAAGCTCGGGAAAGTTAAAAATACTTTGGGGTAGTTATGCGCATCAGGCATAACAAATGGCTCTCAGGAACCCTGGGTCGTTCCAGTAATGAAATATGAAGTGACGAAAGTGGCATTTCAGGCCGGCTCTGACTGGGAGCGAACTTTTTTGGTTATGTACATACGCCGTGACTCCCATTCGTATAAAATATCACTCTCCGACTCCCTCGTTACTGCAAAAGCAGGACAATAACAAAGACAGCAGGGGGAAAATGCTGGAAAGAACACATTAGTCCATCAAATCTAATTGCAAAATCATTTCATTAAAATGGGTCAGCGGCTCTACCACAGAGGTCCGCCAGTTATAATCTAACTATCCCACTGAGAGCGATTCCTGCTAGCTACACACCGCTCTCACCTTGATTAAAACGAAAATGCATTTAATAGGCGGCTGTCCCCAGCCGGTGTGTGTCTTCAGGCTCATCGTGTTACGAGCAAACTGAGTTTCCTCCTATCTTCCGGCCTTTGATCAGCAATCATGGTTCCTGTGGCTCACAGGGATCACATTATAGACACATTCTAGAGGGAGAATGTGCACACGTGCAAAGTGCCCTGCTGTCACCATCACCACATGGACCCTCCCGTCCAGCAGGGACACGAGTGGGTAGTCATCGGCAGGGTTTGCAAATGAAATTCACCCTGGCCCGGCACACCCATGTGTCTAGGAAAATGGTCCAATCCGAGTTACTCAGGACGCCAGATGCTGGCCAATGGAGAGCAAGGGATTTGCAGGGTACATTAGACCAGGAAGCCACCTACAAAACCGTGAGGACATGTGCGTGGATTTTGTTCACACAAGCTTAGGAGAGGAAGAGGAGTGACCAGGTCAGGAAAGGCAGACACGCCCTGGCTTCTGAGTCCCTGTTTTAAGTAGACAGTGTCGCTTCAAGATCAGAGCCTCACCAAGTTCATTCCTGAGCATCTCCACAGGGAGATGAGACAGGAGTCTGGAAGCCAAAAGGGAGGGAGACTTCTGTTCTCTGCCTCACCATACCTCAATGGAGGAGAAACCCTATTTGATCTGCCTCCACCATGTTCCACTCTGTGACTGTAGCCAGAGGCACTGGAATAAAGATTCTAGCAAAGAGCACATTTGCAGAACAGCATAGCTTGAGTCACATGAGCCCTGGGTCTGTCCCTACAGTGAGTCACATGGGCCGTGGTCTGTCCCTGTGCCGTGGCCTGTGCCGAGTAAGTCTCAGTTTCCTCATTTATGAGACGGAGTTATAACTTGGGGTATTGCAGGGATCAAATGGGTTGACAGTCTGAGAGCATTGCGTCAGCCATGTACACGGTTAGTAACGTCAGCTAATACCACCAGCCGCACCGGCACCATAGCAGCCTCCCACCAGCCAAATGTTCCACTAAGACCTAGGAACAAACAACAGCAGAATACCGGGCACACTACACCTGCCTCCTTCTCACAGATTCTCCATGGCATTGACCTCTCATCCTTATGCCAACCCCTGTAAGATAGGAACGGTTATTTAATTCCATTTTATATGTGGAGAGCCGAGGCTAGCAACAGCCAAGGCTGGCCAAACCCAGGCCCTCCGCTGCTAACACCCATGCACCGTCCATGTCTGTATCACCCTAACGCAGAGAAGGTCACTAACATAATGCCTCAACTCAGTCAGCAAACCAGTGGTGTTGACACTCTGCAATGCTTCAGACACACACACACACACACACACATAGGACACAGGTGCCAGTGATACCCAACTTAGGCAGTGGACCAATTGTGGACTGAGCTCACTCACATTTGTGCCTTGCTTTGGGCTGATGAAATATGGGAGAGGGAGAATGAAGAAGCCTGGAGCCACCAACAAGCTCACGTCTGACAGGAGAGCCAGAGCCCCCCATAACGGCCAGCATAATTCATGGGCTCATGAGGTCTGCCTGGCTACCCCCCCCCCCCGGGCGCCTCTCAGAGACATCAACTGTCAGACCTGTTACCATTACTGTATGACCTTGAGAGAAATGCACTTCTGAAAAACAGAAGTCTTAGCTCCAACCTTCTGCTTACTCTAGGGCAGAAATCGAATCTGACCCTCAGGTACATTTTGCTGGTCTTCACAGTGTTTCAAATGTAAATGCATTACCAATATTTTTTAATATTTGGATTATCTTTTTTAAAAAAAAAAGAAAAAGGACTATCAGACAACTCTGGGCCAAATTCCCAACCGTTAGGATTGTGGGCTCTAGCCTCACACTGGTGGCTCACGCCTGTAATCCCAGCTACTCAGGAGGCAGAGATCAGGAGGATCGTGGTTCGAAGCCAGCCCAGGCAAATAATTCCATGAGATCCTATCTCAAAAAACCCTTCACAAAAATAAGGCTGGCAGAGTGGTTCAAGGTGAAGGCCCTGAGGTCAAGCCTCACTATTAAAAACGACAAAAAAAAAGATTGTGGGCTCTAATTCCCCCCACACCCCTGTACCTAGCCCTCATTGTTACCTTACCGACAACAAGGTCAGATACCATTGTTTATTTAGGACTGCATGCCTGGCTTCGTCTATTGCCAGTGAGTCCTGGACCCCTTCCCATACGTCATTCCCACTCCTGCAGTAGCCCCCACAGAAGTCCTATCAAAATCTCTTCCATCTGGATTATCGTGAACATCTGGAGTTGCCGTGAAGGGTAGGCTCGTGGAGCAGGCTCTCCCTATGACCGTGGGCTGCGTTCTGGGCCCCTGTGCCTTGCAGCATTTCTCAGAGCACATCGTTACTTTTGTCAGCTTCTCAAAAGCCTAGGAGCCCAGACATCTTGAGCCTGGTTTCCTGGAAAGTGACAAATGACAAAGACTACAAGGGAAGCAGGGCTAGGGACAGGGAAGAGTGCCAGGAAGGTGGACAGATAGTGAAGGCAATATCTGTCACTTGACCCCCCATACATACACCTCCCAACTCACCTCCACCCCTACTACCCAGAACCTGGGCCCACGCGGTGGAACCCCAGTGATGCTGACGCCCCCTCTTTGGCCCGCCCAGGCTCCGAGGACTACCTCAGCCGCCTCAGCAGCGAGTGCTTCATGGACCTCGTGTGCCCCCAGAAGTGCCGCTGTGAGGGGACCGTCGTGGACTGCTCCAACCAGAAGCTGGCCCGTGTCCCAAGCCACATCCCAGAATACGTCACTGACCTGTAAGTCCTTCGCCATGCATGAACAGCCTGCCCCTCCAAACACAGACCCGGTCACCTGGAGCAGGCCCAGATAAGTCTCTGGAGTGACCCCGACCTGGCTCAGGTGTGTGGGTGCTCTTGACCTGTCCTCTCTGCAGACACCCGGGCATCCATAGCCCACTTGCTTGTAAGCAAAGACCGTTCTTTCATCCGTTCTACAACTATTTCCTGAACAAATCAAATGGCCCCCGTTGGCTGCAGGCGTGGCTCAAGCCATAGAGCACCTGCCTAACGGTCTTGAGGCCTTCAGTCAAACCCCAGTACTGCCAAAAAAAAAAAAGCAAGTAGTTTCTTTGTGGTCTACATATATGTACAGAAAGGCCACCTTACTCACGGATTTACTATACATGGCTTTGATCAAGCACAGTCAAAATAATAAGTAAAAACAAAATTCTTAAAACCTAGAATGGTTAAATATATGTGCACCTCCTATTAACCACACTGTTGAAGGAACGTGTAGGTTTATTTAAAAAAAAAAAAAAAAGAGCTTAGTAGGGAGGACGGCACAGGTTCTGGCTAACAGCTCTGCATCTGACCCCCATCTCCTCCCATCTTGCTGAGACTGGGGGAGTTGCTTCTCAGCTCTGAGGCTCAGTTCGGTAGCTGTGAAATAGGCCAATGGTGCCTCCCGCCCTGGTTGGTTAAGATTAAGAAAGAGGCTCAAGCAGGGCATTCCTCTCGAGTCCCGCAGGGACTAAGCCCTGAGTAAGTGCTGGCGGTCTCATGGTTATTCTTTTTTGGGCAGTATTAGGATTTGAACTCAGGGCCTCCAGCTTGCCAGGCAGGTGCTCTACCACTTGAGCCCCTCTCCCTCCCCTTCTTTTGCTTTAGTAATTCTTCAGATAGGCTCTTGCATTTCCGCCTGGGGCTGGCCTCAGACTGCCATCCTCCTACCTGTGCCTCTGTGTAAGGGGAATTACAGCACGAACGACCACACCCGGCTAGTTTATTGGTTGAGATAGTGACTCGGTAACTTATTTCTCCTGGGCTGGTCTTGAACCACAATCCTCCAGCAGATTATTCTTGTTCTCTGACTTTTCTCGTCACCATAGAACACAGCAAGGCCCTGCTTTGCTGGCTCATGGACCTCCCTGAGCTCGGAGGACTATTGGGCGTGGAGGCCCTGGACACCACCTGGTGGGGGGAAGTGATCAGGAAGAGACTGAGCAACCTGAGGATTAAGAGGCCCCAGACTTCATGGGGGGCATGTTAAGTTGCTGTTGGTAACCCCACAAGATGAAAGCAGGTCCTTGGCGTTTGACTGGGTGCTGAGAACTATGCATGGCCATACAGAGGATTCAAATGTTCCCTCCACCCCATCCCAGAGGGCTTCCTGTAGAAGGAGGCTGCTCCTCTCTCTCCTGCCCCTTCCTGAGAGCCCCTCATGCTGGCACATGATCCCTGTGACTCTGTTGACCTTCACTGGATGTGAACTTCAGGTGGAGCGAAAGCCGAGTGGAGGGGGGCAGAGGAGGGGCCTCACCCACAGCTCACCCCCTCTCTGGCTTCCCCCGCAGGCGGCTGAACGACAATGAGATCTCTGTCCTGGAGGCCACCGGCATCTTCAAGAAGCTGCCCAACCTGCGGAAAATGTAAGTCAAGCTCAAGAACATGGCAGCTGCCTCCGTTCCCTGGCCAGCGTGGTGTTCAGAGCAGAGCCGATGCCAGAGCGCTGGTGTCCCCTCTCCCTCTCAGCCTCCGCCTGATCCCCCAGGGTCAGCAGGACCATGTGACACAGACCCAGCTGAAAGTTGGCTGTGGTTAGGTTGTAGCGTGTTGTGCAAGCAGGCATCCCTTGCTCTGCCCCCACCCCACACCCAGTGTCCCCTCAGGGGGCAGTGGGAGGGACTCAGTAAGGGTCAGCAAGGGAACAGTGGGGTGTGGCACTCATCACTGTGCATTTGGAGGGAGTGACCATGTAGACACCTGCTCTTAGGTGGAACTGAAGGCCTCCGGATCAGCGAGGCACCTCTGAGTGACAATCCCAGTGGTCCTCCCAGTGCATTCAGTCTCAAAGTCCCCAGGTCCCCTGGCTTCTTGGCACAGGGCTGCCTGTCATTCTAGCCTGCTCCCTGCCCAGGAGTTTGGGCCAAGTCATAGCAATGACAAGAATAATATGTGCTATTCAAGTACTTGTCCTGGACCAGGAAGAGCCAGGCCTCAGAGAGGTCAGTGACTCCTCTAAGACCACACAGCAAATAAACTTCAGAAGTGGGGCTCAGACTTGGGTCCACTTGCACACACCAGGGTTAGGTTGGGTTGTTTCCTCCTCTTCTTTTCCGGGGCACCCCAGCAGAGGTACCCGCACAGAGACGAGGTTCTTCACCATAGGACTCCTGGGGTGCTCTTCTTTGACCCCCCCACCCCCGACCACCACCACTTCCTATTGCCTGGCCATGAGGCAGGTATTAAACTGCATCCAGCTTACCAAGAGCCTGTTTGCCTAGTGGGCAGGGTACTTTTTCCCTTTTATAAAGAAAATTCATTGACTTGAAAATTTTCTGTTTGTACAGCTGCTTCTCTGTCCAAGAGAGGAGGACTCCTAACAACTCTTATCAGGGCAGAGAACACTGATTTAAATCCACATAACAAAAGTGAACAACCCTGTTGACCTTATGTTTCCTGGAGAACTCTCCTAACCTCTCCCCTTTATACACCCCAAACCCCTTTTCATATTCCTGCTTTTGACAGGTACATGAACACAGAGAACTGTTTGTGTTTGCCAAGGAAAACAGCACAGACATGTGCTAATTTCCAGCCAAAACGAGCCTCAGCAACCATGTGACAAAAGGGAGTGGTGGGGAGTGTGGTAAAACGTAGTTCCAGACCTTATCCAAAGGGGCAGATATCATCAGCCCGTCCTCACACCTGCCATGCTGGAATGGAGATCAGGACTGCTCTAAGGCAGCCGGGGATCCAGGTTCAGGGGCGAAGAACCAACAGGCAGCCCTGCGTTCGTTCTAGCATCAGCTCTTCCCTCCTCAGCCTGCTAACTAGGAATGTGCTTAGACTTTCCGGTTTCATTTGCATTGCAGAAATAAGTTCACCTTCCTCACAAGTGACCACAAAGATCCGAAGGAAGATGAGGGCTGGCGTGTAGCTCAGTGGTAGGGCTCGTGCCTCACGTGTGGTGTGGAGGCCATGGGTTCCATCTCCAGCACCACACACAGAAACAGCAAATGTGAGGAAATTAGGATGAAAGACAGGGCATGGCCTCTGCCCAGGTCCTGCAAAGACAGGAGAGAACACGTGGGTTGAGTGTCCTGCTGAGCTGCCTCCACAACCCTGGGCTGGAAAGAAGGAAGGAAGGGAAGGAAGGAGGGAAGGAGGGAGGAAGGAGGAAAGGAGGGAAGGAAGGAAAGAAGGAAGGAAGGAAGGAAGGGAGGGAAGCAGAAAGGCAGGCAGGAAGGGAAGCTGGAAGGAAGGAAGAGCAGTAATGTAAGGGAGGTCCTCAAGTCACCAAGGAAATACTTACAAAAGGGGGTTTGGAGAAGAGCTTTTCGTGTCCCAAAAAACCTGGCTTCACATCAAGTCCTTCCAGCTGTGTGACTCTGAGCAAGTTACTTAACCTCTCTGAAACTTAGTCTCCCCATTCATAAAATGGGACAGTAGTGGTATCTGTCTGATGGTGCTGTTTTACAGGCTTGGTGTGACTGTCAAAGCTCTCTTGTAGTAATTTATATATAATAAACACCAATGTATATATAGGCACCAGCAGCTCATGCCTATAATCCCAGCTACCTGGGAGGCTGAAATCGGGAGGATTGCAGTCAAGGCCAGCCTGGGCAACTCGTTCACGAGACCCCATCTCTAAAATAATCAGAGCAAAATGGACTGGAGGTGTGTCTTAAGTGGTAGAGCGCCTGCATTGCAAGTGCAAAGCCCTGAGTTCAAACCCCAGTCCCACTAAAAAAAGGGAGTCCATTGACGTCAGGGTTTCCAGAATGCTTTACCCCAAGGGGGGGACTTAGCTTATGTTTTTCTCCTGCCCTCTCTCTTCTTACAAATCACTGCTTGGTGAGAATGTGGTGAGGGAGAAAATCAGTTTGAGAAGCTCTGATTTAAATCCCCCAGTCTCCTGGACGTTGAAAAAACAATTACAGCAAAGGGCCTCCAAGTCCCCTGTGATGTCCCACTTGCTGCGGGAGGGCTCCCTGCTCCCAGAGCACAGGTGCCAAGGACCAACCATCTTGTCCTCCATCCCCACCAGTGGAGAGAGAGAGAGAGAGAGAGGGAGAGAGAGGGAGAGAGGTAGGGGGCTCATCTGCCTGCATTCTGGGGGGGTCCCCTCCCTAGCTCCCGACCTGGCCCACCTCCACCCTCCTGGCTTCTGTCCCCTCCTTCCAGAAACCTGAGCAACAACAAGATCAAGGAGGTACGGGAAGGTGCCTTTGACGGGGCGGCAGGCGTGCAGGAGCTGATGCTGACAGGGAACCAGCTGGAGATGGTGCACGGGCGCATGTTCCGCGGCCTCAGTGGCCTCAAGACCCTGTGAGTGCTGGAGCCCCGGCAGGGACGGAGGGCAGGGGAGTCAGGGAGCAGCTGCAGGAGCTGTCCTGGCCTGCAGGATCCCTTCCTCACCGGGGACAGGGTCATCAGCCTTCTCCCAGCCTTTGATGGGGATTGAGCGGATGTGCTGAGCACCCCAACACACGCCGGCACACCCACCTGCACACGCGCACGCTGGAGCCGTGGAGGGAGGCGCGAAAGTGACACATCAAGGCACGCACACACGCAGCACAGCGACTTCTTTTTTTTTTTTTTTCATTTTTCTTTTATTATTCATATGTGCATACAAGGCTTGGTTCATTTCTCCCCTCTGCCCCCACCCCCTCCCTTACCACCCACTCCACCCCCTCCCTCTCCCCCCCTCAATACCCAGCAGAAACTATTTTGCCCTTATTTCTAATTTTGTTGTAGAGAGAGAATAAGCAATAATAGGAAGGAACAAGGGTTTTTGCTGGTTGAGATAAGGATAGCTATACAGGGAGTTGACTCACATTGATTTCCTGAGCACAGCGACTTCTCAATTCTTCCATCTCCTCCGGGAAATACCCGTGGCCACACAGACAGGCACACGGTGTGCACGCCCTTGTGCGTTGGGAAGCGAGCCCAGGCAAGAATGCACACACGCCTGTGCCCGGCACAGGGAGCCAGGCCTTGCCCATGGCAGGGCAGTGGGACGGGCTGAGCCGGGAACTGGCAGAAGTGTCCCCTACCTGTGCACTGTAGGGGACACTCGCACCCTGTCCTCCAGGATGCTGAGGAGCAATTTGATCAGCTGCGTGAGCAACGACACCTTTGCTGGCCTGAGTTCCGTGAGGCTGCTGTCCCTCTATGACAACCGGATTGCCACCATCACCCCTGGCGCCTTCACCACGCTTGTCTCCCTGTCTACCATGTGAGTTCTGATCCACCGTCCACTCCCTCTAACCCCTTTTCTACAGGCCTCTCCAACCTCCCGGCCCCTCTGTCTTTGGCCAAGGTCAGCTAACTGTCCTCTTTCTGAACACTTGTTGGGCCCCCTGTATGTGTCAGTCACCCTCTAGGGGCAAAGGATACACAGACCTGGCTCCCCTTTGCTGGAGCTCATGGCATAGTGAATTACCACAGAAGGCAGCTCCACGGTGACATGAAAATCCAACAGGGGCTTTGTTGAGACACTAGGGCTACATTCTGGACGGTTAGCTCATTGTAGAAAGTGAGACGTGCACTTCCTTCAGCACAACAAGAGTGTGTGCAAAGGTCCTGTGGTTGGTTGAAGCAGACTAGATGGGGGGGGACCTCCACCCTTTGCTCGTCCCTTTAGCTCTGCTCTCCTCATCTTTCTGACTGTTTCCTAAGAAGCTTTGTGATTTACTTATTAGATGCTAGCTGTATACTGTCTGCTTCCCATGAGATACATCCCAAAGGAACATGGCTGCAGCCTCACTCAGACCCGTGCCGGAAGTCTGGCTGTAACTCCTGAATAAATGAAAGACTGGGACTGTGACAGTCACAGGAGGGAGTGATGAACTAGGAACGAACACACTGGGCCAGTGCACTTTGGTCTGTTTCTGGCCTTTCCTCAGTGCCTCCACACTGGGAATCCAGAGACACAGACTCAGAGGAGCCAGAGTCATGGCACTGAGGGCCAGGTGTGACACTCAAGGAACCCTGCCCAAATTCCTGCTGTAAAAATGTCAGAGCAGGACTCACACCCAGGACAGCAGGCTCCCAGCTCTTGAGTGCCGGCTCACCCTGCAGCCACTTGGGCCCCCGCCCTGAGGCGACCTTCCCTTGCAAGCCCTCCCTGCCTCGGTGAAACGAGCAGAGTTGTGAGGTGGTTGTGACGAGTGTGGGATGATGGACATGTAAGGTGCTTGACGTGGCCCTGGTCCTGAAGCCAGCGCTCAGTGACAGCCACTGCCACCCCTGATCCTCCGTCCGTCCCATGTCATCCCGCAGACGCGGGTAAAGTACCCATGGTGGTGTCCCCCTGGTTTCTGAACACACAGAGCTGCCCACCTCTGGAGTCTCAGTCCAAGATGTGAGGCAGGTATTAACCAGAACCAGTTGTCACAAAGCTGACGGCTGCCAGGGAGGACATGCAGGGTGCAAAGGAGGAAGGGGCAAGGGAGCTGTCCTGCCTGGACACAGAGCCCCAGGAAGGCTGCTTGGCCAGATGCCAAGGACTCTGATTATAAGGAGGGGCCAGGGGACAAGCCACAGAGCCACTCAGGAGACACTGCAACCACCATGTGGGTCACAGAAAGAACTCAGCATCCCCTGCCCAAACCCAGGCCCTGTGTGTCCCACAAGGAGAGCTGGCCTGGGCCGGCCACAATGACCAACCCCACCCCCCCTCTCTCCCCCAGAAACCTCCTGTCCAACCCATTCAACTGCAACTGCCACCTGGCCTGGCTCGGCCGGTGGCTCAGGAGGAAACGCATCGTGAGCGGGAATCCCCGGTGCCAGCAGCCCTTCTTCCTCAGAGAGATCCCCATCCAGGATGTGACTGTGCAGGACTTCACCTGTGATGGTGAGAGCGCGGTGGGGACAGGGGGGGCGAGGGATCCCAGGGACCTGACTCCACTCCCCCATCCAGCAGCCTGCATGGCTCCTGCAGCGCCTCCGCCAATCAGACATCCCCTGAAAACACCCTAACTTCATTACAGCAAGACACCACCATCCGTGCTGTCATACCAAATATCCTAATCTACTCGTGTCCGCAGTGAGCCTGGCACCCCTTAGACCGTGTGCCCGCCTTGTGCTGTACACAGCCTACGCAACTGGACATGGAAGCCCTGGGCCTCAGACTACGTGAGAAACAGGCTTCCAGGAAAGTCCTGTCGCTGGGTAGGGACACAAGCACCCAAAGAGCTGAGGCTTTGGGTGTCAGGATCCCGAGGGTGTGTTTGCAGGAATTCAAGCCAGCACAGTTCCTTACTTGATTGCTGTGGGTTATCTAAGGACAGATGAACTGGCTTAGATGGACGGAGGCTTAGGTATAACGGGGGATAGGGACACACTCGCCCCTAGAGGGATCGTGTAGTGGCGGGAGGGGAGAAGGGAGCAGAAGGGGGAAGGGAAAGGACAGTCATGACATTCCTCCATCAGTTTGTCTCATTCCTGATCTGGCTAACATCAGCCTCTTTCCTGCCCATTGCTCTGGCCCATCAAGTCTTAGTCAGCAGCTGCCATAGTCTTCATTTTGTGTTGAATGCAGTAAAAGGAAGGCTCGTGTCCTCCTGCTGCAGCCACACAGGTCCCCAGCAACCTTGGTCCTGGCTGGGACTCAAAACTGGGGCAGGGCATAGCTGGCCTTGGCTGAGGACATCCCAGCCTGTCACCCTGCCTTGCTCAGCTTCTCCCCTTTGGAGAGGGGCTCACCTCTACCCCACTCACCCTCTCTGGGCTCCCCACAGGCAAGGAGGAGAGCAGCTGCTCGCTGAGCCCACGCTGTCCAGAGCAGTGCACCTGTGTGGACACCGTGGTGAGATGCAGCAACAAGGGGCTCCGTGCCCTCCCCAAAGGCATGCCCAAGGATGTGACAGAGCTGTGAGTACCTCCCCAAGCATGCCGCCACCCCCTTCCACACCAACAGTCCCAGCAAGAGGCCCAGGGATGTGCTAAGATGGCCAGGGGGCAGACAGCCCAGCTTCCCTACTCACTTGGCCTGGCCCTGCTCGCTCCAAAGTCAGAGTACAAGTGAAAGGTCATTGGCTCATTTCCTGTGTACCCCCAAAGCCACACTCTGAACTCTGCCTTGCTAGAGCCCCCAGCAGTCTCTCAGTCAGACTTCACTTAAGGTACAGGGCGCAAAGCCGGTCCCCTGTGGGGCGCAGGGCAGTCTTGCAAATGAAGCTCCCCTCAATGCTGAGCACTGCTCGCTGCAGAACAGGCGCTTTCTCACCCACGCCACACTCCTGACATCACTCCCGTCCTTGTTCCTGCACCCCAAGCCCCTGTTAACTGAAGCAAGAGCCCTTCTCCTCCTGGTGGGCTCTCAGTATTGGGCAGAAAACCTTGCTATGGCCCCTGAAAGGTTCTGGCAGGTGGACAGGCACAGTGTTCTCTCTGGAACATACATGGACCCATGCAGCTGGGACTGGAGAAGCAGCGCGTTTGCTCCACCAACCCACGCCTTGTTCTCGTACCCACCTGCATTCGCCCAGCAAGGTGGACCTGGGCCTCGCATGTCAGGCCCTCTGCTAGCATGGAGAGATACTAGCAAGCAAGGCAGAGGCTGGGGCTCACAGGGCAGGTGGAGATGTTTGCACCATTCTCTCCGAAGCATATGTGGTGTGACAAAACATGATAAGTGCTGTGAATAGGCAGAGGATGGACTGGGGGTGACGAACAGAATGTGTCCCTAAGGACGTGACTCTGGCTCTCTGTTCAGGAGGGAGAGGAGCAGGTCCTCAGAAGGGAGGGAGGAAGGGGAGCAGAGCAGATGGAAGTTGATACAAAGGTCCTGTGCTGGGGTGAGCAGACCAGCAAAGGGGACAAATAGAAGACCAGAGTGCCCTGCAGTGGCACACCCACACTTGCACACTCTGGTTTCCACCCTCCCTCCCCTGACCCCAGAGCCACTCCCTCCTCTGCACCTGCTTAGCAATATGCAACCCGGATGCTTTTGGGGGGACTGTCTCTCACCTGCAGCTCCAAGGATGGGAGCTGAATAACCTGTCTCTTAGAGCAGCACGGAGACCCTGAGCGTAGTGTGGCTCCTGGCATTTCCCAATGCTGAGGGAGCCAGTGATGGGGGCCTCCAGCCCTAGGGCAGGAGAGGAGCGCTGACAGTCACCAAAGCATCCACATCAGCCATGGGCTTGGACAGAGGCAGAAAATAATCCAGGTACATGCTACTTTCTGGGCCAATTGGATGCCAGTGGCCTCATGTTAAAAGGAAGAAAATGCCATGAAAGCAAGGCCAGGATGCCTTTCCCAAACCTCAGGACACAGACACTGAAACACCAAGATGATCAGGTACAATTGTGATGCCAAAATCACCGCCTTGGGAGGAGACCGGAGGTCTGCTTTGGGAAATGGAGGCTGGGTTCCCAACACCAAGGAAGTGATCCAAGGAAGAATGTGCTCACTTCTGTCCCTAACCTTCTCCTGACCACAGTGGGGAGGGCTAGCAGGAAACGAGTGTCTGAGAAAGCAGGAGCTGGTAGTCCAGCCGTCTGTGGCAGAGGTCCCTCTGGGAGCCTTGATCCAGGGTTTCTGATGTTGGCTTTTCAGTGCCCTTCGGTGCCCTTGGCCAGCTCAGGCCAGAGGGCCAGCTTACAAAACAAAACTGAATGTCATTCACTGAGAAGCAGCAAAACAAAGTTGCCTAGCACCTCTGCGAAGGGCAGGTTGTGGGGGTGTGCTGCCAGCACGCAGGGTCCCAGCGATGCCAGCCAAGCTCAAAGGCCATGCAAGCAGGAAGTGATTTTATGTGAGCCCCGTGGTCTTTCTCTCTGTGTCTCTTCTGGATTCTGTCGCCATGAGTACATCCCTCTTTTTCACACTCAGTTCTTGCAAGTCATCCTTGCAGCAGGGCTGGGGACCACCTGCCCTCCCCGAGGGGCAGGAAACTCACAGAGAAGTTGCGGGTTAACAGTCCAGTTAGGGTGAGAGATGAGGCTTGCCCCGCAGCAGTCCTGTGCTCCGAGCCAGCACCCCAGAAGTGCCTCAACCGTGAAAGGTCTCAGGACCTCGCATACCCTGCCAGGACTCCAAGAACTTGCATTGACGTGCGCTCCACCTGTGACTTCTTCCACATTAGAAACTAACACTGACAAAAAGGTAAATATCCTTTTTTATTCCACCTAAAAATGATTCTGAAACTGGAGGTGTGGCTCCAGCAGTAGAGCGCCTGCTTGGCGAGCGTGAAGCCATAAGTTCAAACCCCAGTCCCACCAAAAAAAAAAAAAAAATTGCAAACATATTTACTAGTAATTCTACACCCATTGCATATTCAGATAAGAACAAACAAACCAAAAGACAGTTCAATTGAGAGCAGGGACATGGTGTATTTCTTTCCCGATGTCTTTAATGTTGGCTTCTGGAGTACAGCTGGACTATCCTATCCTTGCATTCACTGTTGTGATACGTTGTTTGGGGTGAGGTAGCAGAGTCTGGCTTCATGCAGATGTGTGGTAGGAAAGGCAGAGGTATTTTAACAGACCTTTCAGACAGTCATGCCTAGTCTTCTTTGATGACACCAAAACACAAGCAGAGGGAGTTCATGAAAGTGTCGTGAGGAACCTGCACCCATTCCGGTGAGCATTTCATCCTCTGTTACCCTAAAACCCACCGATCCGTCTTGTGCTTTGGAGGAAGTGATCTTGTGACATCACCCATTGATCATTTGGAAAACATTGGTTCACTGAATTATGCATTTCTTCTAAATGTTGACACATTTCATTGTCCAATATTAAAAAAATCATTCCATTCAATCACCTCCAATCCCATCAGAAAAGTCTTTTTTTAAATTTATTCATAGGTGCACACATTGTTTGGGCCATTTCTCCCCCCTGCCCCCCTCTCCCCGCCCCCTTCGCTGAAAAGTCTTAAGTAAGGTGAAGCCAGCAAGCTTAGTGCAGTGAGTTTCACAAAATTTTTAATTTTGGCTTGAAAGCACAGATTTGATCTGTGGCAGCAAGTGTCATCAGCAGCTTGCCTTGAAGTGACAGACTCGCTCTGCACGTTTGCAAGAAACTATCTACTAAGTACCTGTCCACATCACCAGGTTGCCAGCCACCCTTTCAAGTAAAAATAGTGTTTCATGGAAAAGTTAAAAATCAGCTAGTTCAGCGAACAAGGCCACACAGGTGCCTTTCCTCATGACAACCTGTGCCCTTCACGCGCCGTATAACTGCTCTGTGCACACCCCCACTGTGTCCGCAGAGCAATAAGGAATTAGGAATATACTGCTTCATCAGGGGCATTCTTTTTTTCCCTTATTTGATTATTGTTTCACGGGGGGGTACATTGTGACATTTACCAAAGTTCTTACAATATATCAAATATATCATAGTTAAATTCACACCCTCCATCATTTTCCTGTATCTCTCCCAGACCCCATTCCTGGAACGGTTTCAACAGGTCTCATTTCTCCATTTACATACATGAGTACACAGTATTTGCTCTGTATTCACCCTCCCTCACCATTTCCCCACATCCTCTCCCCTCCCACTGGTACCAACTCCCTAGACAGGACCTGTTTTGCCTTCTTGTTCTCTGTTTTTGTAAAAAAAAAAAAAAAAGACATTTTTATTTAAGATAGTTCAGGGTGTTTCATTGTGACATTTCCATACACACACATATATATATATATGACTTCCTTCTTTTACCCTCTGCCTATCATATGTGACCTCCCGTTAGCATGGCCAATTTTTTATAATATTGCTGTGTTTGTGTTAGGTCTATATCCCACATATGAAAGAAAACAAATGTCTTTCTGAATCTGGCTAATTTCACTTAAGATGATGTTCTCCAGTTCCATCCATTTACCTGCAAACAAACTTTCATTCTTCTTTGTGGCTGAGTAAAATTCCATTGTGAATAAATACCACATTTTTTCTTACTCCATTCGTCAGTGGTGGGGCATCTTAGCTGTTTCCATAGCTTGGCTATTGTGAATAGCGCTGCAATAAACGTGGGTGTGCAGGTGACTTTGTAACAACCTGACTCACATTCCTTTAGGTAAATTCCTAGGAGTGGAATTGCTGGATCCCATGGCAAATCTATTTTTAGTTTTTTGTGGAGCCTCCACAATGTTTTTCACAGTGGTTGTACTAGCTTACATTCCCACCAGCAGTGTATGAGGGTTCCTTTTTCCCCACGTCCTCGCCAACATTTGTTTCTGTTTGTGTTCTAGATGGCAGCAATTCTAACAGGACTGAGGTGGACTCTTAACGTGGTTTTGATTTGCATTTCCTTTATGGCCAGGGATGGTGAGCATTTCTTCATGTGTTTTTTGGCCATTTGGACTTCTTCCTTTGAAAGAACTCTGTTCAGATCATCTGCCCATTTCTTCATTGGGTCATTGATTTTGGGGGAGCTTAGTTTTTGAGTTCCCTGTATTCTGGTTATTAATCCCTTTCAGATGTATAGCTGGCAAAGATGTTCTCCCATTCTGTGATGACCATGTCTTTTGTTGTGCAGAAAGCTTTTTAATTTCATGAAGTCCCATTTGTCCATTCTGTCTCTTAGTTGCTAAGCCATTGGAGTTCTATTTAGGAAGTCATTGCCTATGCCTGTAAGTTCCAGTGTATTTCCTGCTCTTCTCTTCCCTAGCTTCAAAGTTTCAGGTTTTATATTAAAGTCCTTAATCCACTTTGAGTTGATACTTATGTAGAGTGAAAGATATGGCTCCATTTCAGTTTTCTGCTGGCAGATATCCAGTTTACCCAGCAACACTTGTTGAAGAGGCTGTCTTTTCAGCATCGTATATTTTGGACACCTTTGTCAAAAAATGAGGTGAGTATATAGCTGTGTGGCTTCATATCTGGGTCCTCTATTCTGTTCCACTGGTCTTCATGGCTGTTTTTGTGCGAACACCA